AAATCAATTCCTACCCTGGCACCTCCCTGCTTCTCCAATCTGCTTACACCCTACTCTTCTACCCATTCCCTTTGCGTGGCTGGCTTGGCCTCCTGCATATCTCTCATCTCCTCTGCTCCACCATTGGCAGCTATGCTTTCAGCCACTACCCCTTGAAACTATGGAACTCTCTGTCTTAATCTCTCCACCTTGTCCTTTTTCAGATCACACCTGAAGGCATTCTTCTTCGACTGAGCTACAGTCATCTCCCCCATTCCCTGGCTCAGAATCAGCTGTTAAGTGCTCCGCGATGCTACCATGTGTGAAGGGGACTATATAAATGCAAATTGTTGGTGGTGTTGTATCCTCCTGACATGAAAGGCAGTATATCAAATGCATTGGTTATTATTATAGTCAACTGTAGTGACTGTTCTTGCAGGCAAACACAGTAAGGACACACAAATAAAGTTTGGATGACTAACAAACTATCCACTATTTGTGGGAATATAAATTCAATAAGATAAGGAAATGGGAAGCAAGAGCGTATTGCTCAGTCCATGCACCAGGAGCAACATCAGTCACTTCAGTGCTCAGGTGAGCAGATTGCAGGAGCTTTTAAAGTAGCCAAATCACAGAGAATTCTCCCAACATTATTTTCAACAGACCTTATTCAATGTTATCAAAAAATGTGCCTGCATTCGAAGAACATCTGGTCAAGTTAAAATGTTAATCTATGCCAAATAATTGATTGAATTACTGTGTGAAGTGATTGTTTTGGTAGACAAATCATTTACACCAGCAAGGTCTCGACCAATTTATCTGGAAAATTGTTGGTGAGGGAACTGGGAGAAACTTTATTTTTTCAAATAGTATCAAGGGGTCTTTAATGCGCACTTGAACAGTCAAGCAGACCTAGGTTTAGTGTCCCACCTGAAGGATACCATCTCTGAGCTCACTGCGTTGTCAATCTCCAATTACCACACTTCTCTCACAATGTAAATAACTCGTTACGTGTTTATACTGCTGCAAATGAAGGCACTTTATTTCCCAGCAGTATAGTAGAGTGAAAGCTTGATTTCTTCTACAATAGGTTTGCATTTCATTGCTCGTGAAGCCACCTTGTGTAGTTGGTGTCAGAAGCAGAGTTCCAGCATGATTCACACTGGCCCATCCCAGATGATGGTCTACGCAAATTGGTGGTGTTGGAAGCACCTTGGATATCTGAGCCTGATTTATAGCTCAACCCCACCCTGGATTGACAAAAAGGTTCAGGCCATTGATGTTACCAAATTGGTAAAACAAATGACAGCACAAATCTTTTCCGGAATGTTAACATTCTCTCTTTGATCCACACATCATAGGGATTACATTGCCCAATATTTCTAATTCTCCCATAAGTGCTTCCTAATGCAATTTTATCCTGCAATTTAATTCTTGACTTTGATAAATAAACAAGATTTAGCACAACAAAATCCATTGTCTATCACTTCATGACGGGGTTAAAATATTTTATGTTAACTATTATATGGCTGTCACTTCAGCTGTATCCTTATGCAGAAGATTATGGTAGTTATAATAAATATAATAATAATTCTTGTATTTGATATAGTGCCTTACACGTCAGAGGACATGTCAAAGCGCTTCACGGGATTTACTGCAAAGTGCAGTGACTGTGTGTTTCATAGTCAAACATGGCCTAATGTATGTCTACAAACACTATACAATGTTTACATTTTCCACAGAATTCCTGCAAATTCAGCGCAGTATAAATAAATAGAAGAATAATACTGGATAATGGAGTCCTGTAACTTAGTGTTTAGAGCATTTGCCTCGCTAGTGAGAGGACCTGGGCGTGATTCCCAGGTAGCACAAAACGTTAAGCAAGTTTCCTTACTCCATACGCTTTTGTTTAGTTAACAGTAAATAAGAACCCATTTGTTAGTTGATTGGCGGATCGCTTTTCTGCGGGTAATAATCCCTTCAAAATTAAAATAATAATAATAATTTGATCACTCAATCCACGACTGTTTGTGGGACACTGCTGTGCGCAATTGGCTGCTGCGTTTTGCCCACAAATATACAGTTAATTCACTTTATAGTATATTCTGTGAAGTGCTTTGAGATGTCTCGAAGACTTGATAAGGCATTATATCAAATGCAAGGATTATCATTATTTACGCTGATTTTGGGCAGTTACTTGCAAGTGTAAATGATTTTATCACATCACATACCCCATATTTGCCCCTAATATTCAGACATCCAGTTTCATATTTCCCTCATTCGATTCATCTTAGGGGCCCATGAGAACATTTCTGTTAAAAAAAATTCTTGTATATTCTTGAGTAGCAATGAAAGAGCGGACCTCTTGAAAAAAGTGCACAAGCAGAAGCAAAGACAAGAGCATGTGCTTGTTAATGTACTAATATCCATTAAGGAATTAAGATTTTAATACTAAAGGGTGTATCAAGGGCTGGGTAGGGTGGATGTGTATCCTCCCCAAAACAGCCTGCTCCGGGTGTACAACCAGCACTTCATGCTTGGAAACAGCAATCTAAGAGAAAATAGAAATGTTACTGCCTGTCTCATTGATAACAATCAACCAATGTTGCACAATTTTCAAAGGATTTGTAACAGGAAATGTGGGAGAGATCACTTGGGCGAGGCAACTGTGGCATTCTCACCCTCCCAACATATCATTATTGTATTTTGCAACGTAACAGTGTTTTTTATTTAAAACACTTAAAGGCAGGGGAGCTTTGAATTTCATTGCCTGTTGCCATAAGTTGAATCCATTGAATCAAATAACTAACTCAAAGAATAATTCTTAATATGCTTACTCTTTTAATAATAATAATAATAGCATTTGAAATAGCACATTTCACATCAGGAGGATATCTCAAACCACTTCACAGAAGTTACTGTAAAGTGTAGTGACTGTATTCTGTAGGCAAATTTGGCTGCCTATTTGTGTTTCATTCTGTGAAGCTTTCTGAGACAGAATGTCCTACAAACAACCACAAAGTGACTGATTGATTTATTCTGAGGGATTGATGGCTTGAACACTGGTTGAAACTGTTTCTGTTTTCAAGTTTTGTCATGGCATTTTAACATCCCCCTGAACAGGTAGACGGGACCTTGGTTTAGTGTCTCATCTGAAGGACAGCATCTCTGACAATGCAGCACTTCTCCAGCACTACACTGGGGCATCAACCTGGACAATGAGTTCCAAGACCAAATATGGAGCTCAAATCCACAATCGTTTGACCCAGAGGGGTGAGTGCCTCCAACTGAACCATGCTGACACCAATCATTCCTATTAACATTATTTGTTTTTCAATGTTTATATCCTACAAGGGTGAGAAACAAATTTATGCACAGCAATGTCTCAAAAATAGCCATGTTGTGAATGATCAATTTTTGGTCATTCAATTCTGGGGGATTGTTGACCTGAACATCGGGAGAAACTTCCTTCTCTTTCCGAATAGTCCCATGGCATTTTTAACATCCATGTACCAAGCAGGTGGGACCTGGATTCAATGTCTCATCCAATGCATAGCACCTCCAACAATGCAGTGCTTCCTCAACCCAGGACACTGGTACATCAGCACCTCCAACAATTCAGCGAACTCTCAGCAGTTGATTGCAATATCAACCGAGATAACATGAGTTCAAAGTCCTGATGTGGGGCTTGAATCCACAACCTTCTGACTCAGAGACAGAATGTTATCAATTGGACCAGGCTGATATGATCAAAGTCCCCCAAAAATAGAACTTTATACCTAAAAGATCACCAATATACAATTAAAATTTACATCAAGGAAGACCTCTCAAAGAGCTATGCATGGCTGATTGTGAGCTGAGGAGGGGGAACGTGATAAAAGCATTGTTAAGATACATAGACCTTAAGAAGGGTTATGAAGGAGGGAATGCAGAGTGAAGGAACTCCAGGATGGAGTTCCAGACAGTGGGAGCAGAATGGCTGAAATATGGCATCTCTTTAGCCCATATTTCTGTCCTAATGTTTTCTGGTTACAGAATCAAGTGGTTTCTTAAACAAGTCTACGATTCTGAATCCAATGTCCTGGCTCTACCACTTTTTCGGGTAACTCATTCCACCTGCTGGTTACCTTCTGTGTAAAAAAATACTTCTTAGTGTCTGATAACAGCATTTTCCTTTTCTCTTAAAGAACTAATTCATGACTATCTAAAAATAGGTTTTAATGTTCATAATTATTTCTTATCTATAGTTACTCAGTGCATTGTAAGTAGTCTAAATTCCTAGGTACCCCCTGCAAGAGAGGGACAAGCACTGAACTGATGTTAAGAAGGGTAAATGTCTCCCAAAAGCCTACAGTACTGTATTTTGGAGACAATCTACAAAGGCTGCTCTCACTCACCCACTGCTGCCCCAACCAGGTCTGCAGCCTGTTGCCTAAAAAACAAAAGTGATCAAGTTCTAGGCAACTGTATCCTCACATTAGTCAATGTCCTTGAAAAATGAGAGGAAATATAAACAGAAACCAGAAGCTATTTTTTTCTAAGGACAAGGGGACAATGCTCGTGAAATCAACCCACTTGGTTATTTTCAAATCAAATCCTTGCAGTGTAGACTTACAAACTTTAGGCACACAAGAGCAGCATAATCCTTTCCAGCTGAAAAAAAAAGCTGCTTTAGGTTCAACTGCCACGTATCTGGCAGTGAGACTGCAGTGATTCATTTTCCATTTGATTTTTGTTTCCAACGTGTTGCATGGTGACTCTAAACTGATTTGCAAACCCCCTTTCTTCAATGAAATTCTGTCAGTGCTGTGAAACGTAAGTGTTGGCAGAGGTGTGAGTGGTGAGGAAGAAGTGTAATCTTTCGGTTGCTTCTGTGTCAGATTTTACCAGTTTAACACTTTTGTCTGGCTCCAAATATTGTTGAGCAAATATCTGAGCAGATTATAAATTTGAAGGCAAACCATGAATGACTTCACTGGGTGTGGCAGGCTATATAAACAGCTAGTTACCAGCTGGTATTTATTTTACCAAAGCTCAAGCACAGTTCCTCTAATTCTAAGTTGTTACACAAGAAGCTGGTAAGTTATGTTAATAACTGCAGTTTGTTCATAATGTACTTTTTAAAATTACTTTGTAAAATACTGCGTTACTTCACTTCTGTCTATGAAAGTGCAACTTTTATTTAATGATGTATCTGGAATAGGTGGAAATGTGTAGACTATTGTTGTCTTGTGACGGTTTTAGTTTCAGGGTAAGTTTCTAAATTAATCTTTAGTTTAAAAAAAAGCGTTTTTTTAACTTCTAGAATTTTAAAAATAGGTTATTTTATTTGTAATTCTGGGAATTTTACTGCTTTTTGATTTGACTTATTCACAGCTGATTCACTCTCAGCATAAATGTCTGAGATAATTAGTTGTTTGGGGTTAAATCTCTGAAAGGCAGTTAAAGCACAAGGGTTTAAGGAGGAGCAGTCACACCTGTTTGTTCCAAAAACTATTTCTGTGTGACAAAAAAACAGAATGAATTGTTATTTTGGCTCATATTAAATCCATTTTTTTTGCAAGTTATCAGCTGCATTTTTCTGTTAACTATTTGGTTGCATGGAAGAATTTTATATTGATTATTCTCAAAACCCCATTTATCCCGCTTCAAAAATTACTGCCCACCATAAAAAGATCCAGAACAGGGTACTCAGCTCTTTTGAGGCATCCTCAAAAAAGTTGCATAAAAGTAAATTCAATTGTATTAACATGGAGTTACAAAAAAAAACTTTTTGATGGAATTAGCTTTCGATTTCAATTTGTATTTTAACGAGTCTTAAATTTCTCAGAGTCCACAGGAACTTCTTAATTTTAACATTTACAACGACTTGCAACAACCAGTATACCCGACACCTTTCACGTAGGAGCGCAAATCTAATCATTATGTTTTTTTTCTGATGGGTGGATACTTGAGATAATCTTCACCTGGGAAACGCCCTTCACTTTCTGAGCACAGTCCAGTCTGCCTGTGAAATGTTACCTGGAGGTCAAACAGATCCTGTGTGGAGAGATATGATTGGTGGCACAATTTTTATTGCAAAAATTGGTTCTTTTCTGATTAAAGTTTGGTTTGCTCTCCTATTACACATAAAGCATATGAACAATGTAACCCCAGAGTTCATGGTGTTAGAACTAGACACTTATGATTTTTATGTAGGATTGTGGCATGTGTGGTTCTGATGGCTTTATTTCATTGTATGAGGGGTGATCACATTTTTTCTTGATTATATGGTGCGGCTGAACATTTTAGCAAGCCCTCACAGGCAGTTTGTGAGCACAGAAAACTGCCTTTCTGGGCTTATTTACAGGATACTGTTTTACCCCAATTTGAGTTAGTCAGGTATTTGGCGAATAAACACAGAAGGCTCTTTCAGCCTCATAATTCACTCCATCTCTCATTCTCTTCCTGACTAACTCTGCACTGTATTGTAATAAATTGTTCAGTAATACGCTTATTTTGAGTTGCTAAAGTAGTTGTGCTGCAGAAAGAAAGAAAAAGAAAGTCTTTCTGGGAGCCTTGTATCTAACAATTTTTTCCCCCTTCTGTGACTCACAGATGATTAATGTGTGAATCTCTGGCATCTACTGTATTCTGGTGTGAGATCATCTCGCTGTGCATTATATCAAGATCTTGTGTTCTCAGCCTGTCTCACTTCAGCCTTTAGGGCTCCTTCTTAGTTTGTAACAAAAATTGCAAATACGCTACAAACATACATAAATACAAATAGAAGTTTAAATCTAATACAAACATAATACAAATTCCATGTTTGCCAAACACTTACATCAGCATCCATTTAATATTTCTCTTGTTGACAGAGGTACTTTACAATGTGTAGTGACTAAGACTTACTGCCATGGGTATGACACTCATCTGGGGCGTGATCCTTTGTTATAAATCCTTATCAAGATTTTACATTCTCAGCCTAACTTCCTGCAGTCTTTAGGCTCCACCAGGGTTCGAAAGATCTTCACAGAACTTGATGTACAGAAATTACTTGCAAAGTTCTTCAGAAAGAACATCTAAGAAAACACTGAAACATTTCCAGCAGTGTAAACTTGCAAATGTTAGGCAAATAAAAGTTAATAACAAGTGGACAAATCTTAGAACAGGCAATTAATTATCTAGAGGATAAGATTTAATGTTTTTTGGTCAGCTGGACGTCTGACACATGGTAACCCATCACCATGCTTGAGAGTCACCAAACCAAGTTGAGATTTCCATACATCCCACCTACACATGGAAATCTCAGATAGATTCTTGGAATGGAATGTGCACTCTCTCCCTGTAGGGATGCATCCTGCTTACCTAATTCCGGAAAGTATTAGGTGCAGGTTGGCAAGAGCCAAGTTTTGGGGACCCCAAAATGTGTGTTGGGGTACTGCTGGAGTCTAACCAGCTAAAACCGCATAGGTTGCTTTTGGTATTGCTGTCCGGCAAGCTTTCCCACTGCTTGTCCAGCTAGGACCATCCTACTTGTTAGTGCTTTGGCTTGCATGGTTAACAGGAGCTGAGTGGGATGACTCCCAGCCCCCAGATTTAATTTGAATATAGCTAATATAATAATAATTAAATAAAATAGGATAAATAATAATTGAAGAAAATATCCTAAGCAAGGGTCCTTTATGTTCAAGTACAACATTTCTGGCAGTGAGACAGAGGACTGCAGTGATAATTATAATTAATTATAATTAATTATAATTATCACTGCATTTGATAGAAAACATTACCACATTGTCGATGTCACGTCACAGGATTTCACTGTGAAGAATAGTCCCTGTGTATTTGTAGGCACATTCTAATCATTAAACTTTTTTTTAAGGCAGTAGGTTTATACCGGTTTTACATGTTCTCAGCTTCTGCAGTATGATGCTAAAGAAAAGCCTTAATACAGTATTAGAGTAAAGCTATTCAAAATCATTTATGTTATTCTTGTATCATAAATGCACGAAGCTTGCTGTATCCAAATACAGTCACTGCATTTACAGTAAAATTCTGCAAAGTGTTGTGAGATACTGTGCTTTGATGTGATTAGGCACTATATCAAATGCAAGAGTTATTGTTATGATCCTTGCATTTGTATTTTGAAATGAGATATTGAGCGCCATTTCTTGAACTGATCTTGCAACCATTCCTCCAAAAAGCTGATTATCACTTCTCCGTTCACTGCAAGTTAGAATTTAGTGCATCAGAGATCAAATGATGACTGATGAAAAAATGAAAAGGCCACATTAGATGAATTTGAGTTGTTGGTATGAAATAGAGCTCAATCTTGGCAACATGAACTTCGATTAAAAATGCATTTTGGACATTTGGTTGATAATTCAATGCAGAATAGATTGTGAGATTCAGATCAGTTCAATGTCCTGGACAACTTTTTTTAAAATAATAATACCCATTTGAATGATTTATTCACTAATTAATTATTTGATTTAATCTTGTGTCTTTCATGTCCAGAGGACTTCTCAAGGCACTTCACAAGATTTACTTTAATGTGTAGTGACTGTGTAGTTAGTAGATTGGTGACTCAGGTTTCCTACATAGATAATTTGTCCTGAAATGTATTTCTCAAGCAGTTTAGAAAGATTACATATCCATGCAAAACCATTCTTATGAAAGATGGCAAAAAGTGAATCACGACTTGTCACTTTGTATTTTAACAGATGTACATAGATTATACAACATGGAAACAGGCCTTCCAGCTCAACCAGTGCATCAGATGTTTATACTCCATATGAGTCTCCACCAATTCCTTACTCCCTCCCAAACCATTATATTTCCTTCACCACCATATGTCTAGCTTCCTCTTAAATGCATCTACATTTTTGGCAGTGAGTTCCATGATCTCATCCTGTGCGTGAAGTAGTTCCTCCTAAATATTCTTTTAGTTTCCCTAATTGCGAACTTATACTTGTGTCCCTTGTTTACAGACTTCCCAACAAGTGAGAACAACCTATTTAGAATTTTAAATGCTTTTATTAAACCCCTCTTAAAAGTCTCTTTTCTAACAAAATAAGGCCTAATCTATACAGTCAACCCTGATAACACTAACTTGCCAGCCTCGGTAACCTCCTAGTAAATCTACACTCACTTCCATCACTGCTATATCCTTCTAGTTTGGTGACTAGGATAGGACACAGTACTCCAAATGTGGTCAAACTAAGCTTTCATACTCTTAGGAATCCAGAATTGGAAACATTATTTTATCATTTTGTTAAAATTGACATTTCCTAATTTCATGTTTATTGTGATCAATTTCAGATTCTAGAAGTACTGATTCAGCTCCTAATGGTTCCACTAAAAGTCGTACAGCAATTGTAAACAATGTGACGTGAATCTGTCTTCTCTTAACAGATCAACTTCATACAGAATGTCAACCAATCTTCTCTCCTCATTTCTGAAGCAAGCCAGCTGCTGGACCGTTAATGTAAGATGTTTAAATCTACAGGGTGTCCACAAAGATATATTACCCCCATGTTTATTTTCTACAGGGCACTGCCCAACAACTGATGATTGTATTCAGAAGTACTTAATTGTATTCAGTACAAGTATTTAACTATAGTTAGATGACCGGATGTTGTGAGTGCAACCCTTTTCAAGGCAAATAATGATTTGTAACCATATTCAGTGCAACTTATTCCATAACATGATGGACTGACGAGACAAAATGCATCCCTGACAGCTTGTTTCAGCTCCTTTGTTGTCTTGTATTGCTGTTTTGTAAGTGTGTGTAAGTGTGAGGGCTTTGTGGACACCCTGTACACAAACACTTTTTGCATTCATGTGCTTTCCAAAATGGCATTTTGTCAAGTTTGTTGATACCATGCTAAAAGGTCAGGTGGATAATATAAGGATGGCTAAATCATATTTAGGAACAATTCAATGTAAATTGTAAGAAGAAACAATGAATAAATGTCCATCGTCAACTTGTGTCCAAAGTAATGGAGGGGGCGGGGTTTATTGTTGCTTATCTTTCACTCAAAGTTTTCAGGTAATATGAAACTGGTGTCAGTAAAGCTATTGGAATAGCAAGATTGGATCTTCAGAGTATTTGACTATTAATCATAGGACTAATTGACACCTTTTGACTTACTTGTGATGCCGCATAGGCAAATTGTGCCAACTTTGGCTGTTCTACCTTAAAGCATTGAAGAAGATTCAGAGAAGAATCGTGAGGATGATTTGCAGGATTTGGGAAGCTCTCTGTATGAGGAGATGCTCACAGATCTGAAAACAAGCACATCCTGGACAGGAAAAGAAAATAGCTGCACATCCAGTCAGTTCCAGCAATTTGAACTTTTGTAGAATGGTGGAAACTGGCCATGATCCAAGTCTTTGAATGGCTTAGATCCTGTACAGGTAACCAAGCCATTTGAGCTAGACAATGAAAGAAGAACTCAGTAACATTGGTTCAACATTTAAAACCTTCAAGCTGTTGGTGCAGAGTCATTAAATTGTTCAAGAAAAGAACTAAAATTTGCTTTACAATAGTACTGAAGAATATAGTTGTTTTTAATCTTATCTCTTGGAATTTTTATTTTACCCCTTTGTAATATTTGTCTGACTTTGGTGAAGCATCGTGAATCATGATTGTTTAGAAGAGGGGGGAGGAATTCAGGTTTCAAAAATGAAATTATGGGATAAAAGATTCTTCAGTATCTTTTAATTTATTACTTTGGGGGAAGGGTTCCAGGACGTAATTGTATGTAGGATCTCCTTTCTGTCACCACCACCACCTCCCCTCACCCCTCCCAACCCCTGCCAACCTCTGGCAATTTCAGTGGATGGGATGAAGACCAGATAGCATAGTTTGTGTGTGAGTAAAGGTAGAAGTGAGAGGCCGAATTGTATTTCTTCTGTTATATATAAGTAATACATAATACTGGAAAGTTTATGTTGAGACAAGGGCTTCAATTGATGTCAGACACTGATTGATAAATGGAAACAAAGATGGTAACTTTGTAATGTTTAAGTATTTGTACCGACTATTATAGAAATGTTTATTACTGTATCCTGACTGTTCATTTTCTCTAACCCTTTCCATGTTAGTATCCTACAAAAGGACCAACAGTGGTTCCATTCCCTAACTTTAATCCCTGTACAGATGCCGAGTTACTGAAGAAAGCCATTGAAACAAAAGGTGGGTGGAACCTTGATTTTGAGACCGTATAAATAGCCTCATTTTATATCGGTCATTTGGCTAAGAAATTGCATTATTTTAACACCAGAATGCTAATGTGTTTATCCTGCAAGTCTTGCAAGCTCTCAATGTCAGCTAGAATTGAAGCACGACAATTGGCTTCAGTGCCTTAGGAGTGTAGGATAGGGAAGGGGGTAGAGAGGGAGGAAATCACACTCCTGATAGGTATCCAATGAAACCTGCTGAAATATTTGGTGAAATCAGTATCCAGATCACCTATGATGTCTCCATGATCAAACGGTCAACACTCTATCCAAGCCTTCATGTTATGAATGGCCATTTGGGTGAAGCATCAAAGGGTTACTGATTATTGTGGAACCATAACACAGTCTGACTCACCGGCTTCAGGATCTTGCTGTAATTGTGTGGGAGGGGGGAATAGGAAATTGACAATTTCATAACTTCTACGAACGTAGAATGCATTGGCACGTTTGATTTCCACAATTATAGCAGCAGCTATTGATATGTACAGTAATGCAATTGATATTTTGCACAAGGCTTTCAGCTTTCTAAAGGCACATGTATATTTGGTTTTAATCATAACAGGTGTGGATGAAGACACTATCATTAAAGTCTTGGCAACCCGGAACAATTGGCAACGCCAACAAATAGCAGATGCTTTTCAGAAGATTGATAAAAAGGTAAGTGTACTAAAATCGTACAATTTCTTTCTTGTAGACGCAACAGCTTTCAAATAGGATAAATGTCTCAAAGTGCTTCACAAAGAACATGGGGGTCATTAAACATTTAAAAAAAAACTTTCTATTTAACGATTCATCCCATCTATGAAAAACAACTAAGTGCTTCACAGGATTTACTATAAGTTACTGAAACGCTGTACAGCGCCTTGGGACGATCTCCCGATGTGAAGGGTGCTATACAAATGTAACCTTGTTGTAGTAGTGATTGTATTTGTAGGTAAATGCAGCAGCCAATTTTGCTCCCCCCATCTTCTCAACTTCCTAACCCTATATCAGCCTGTCCGCTCCCTCCACTTGGCGGCCACTGGCCTGCTTCAGGACCCCATCAGTTCCCTGCCCTACCATTGGCGGTCAGGCCACCACACTCTGAATCTCTATCACGCAATCCCTCCACCTCACCCCCTTCCTTGCCTCCTTATATTCCAGTCTAAAGACCTTCCACTTCGACTGTGCCTTCGGCTACCCTCCCACCCTTAACCCTTGCCCTCCACCCCTCCTGACTCTCATCTCCCGGCTCAGATCCAAAAACCCCTGATTGTCCAGGACCCTGGGACCTTTTTCTGATGTGAAGGATGCAATACAAGTGTAATTTGTTGTTGTTGTCCCTCAAACAGAAATAAAGTGATGACCAAAGTTCATTTGGTCAGGACACTGGAAAAAACTCATCACTTTTTGAATAGCACGGTGGGATCTTTAACTTCTCCCTGAACAGGCAGACAAAACCTTGGTTTCACATCTCACCTGAAGGATAGCATCTTTTGGTTCTTAAAATAAAGATAATTGTTGCAGATGTGGTAATTGTTTTAAATACATGTACTGTTGTGTGTGTGTATGCGATGTTTATTTAAATATCCTTTTATTTTAATTTTCTGTTTCCTTTCCAGTCACTGAAAGATGCCCTAAAATGTGCGCTGAAGGGTGACCTGGAAACCGTGTGCCTGGGTTTGCTACAAACCCCTGCTCAGTATGATGCACATCAGCTTCAATGGGCTATGAAGGTAGTCAATTATTCCCCAACGGCTCTGGAAATAGTTGCATCGTAGTGCTTCATTGTCCACACTAATAATTGCTATTACTGAAATGCACTGAGTTACTATTTCCTAGGCATCAGCTATAAAAGTTAAATAAAAGCTATTGACTTTGTTAACAATGAGCAACAAACGGTTTTATTTTTAGGAGTTGTAGAAGGCCATATTGATTTTAGTGTTTGAATACATCAGCCAAGTAATCTTGAAATTGCAGGAAGTGCATGAAATTGATGCAGGTACAGATGAGAGCATTGCTCCAGACGTACTTGCTGTAAACGGTGATGTTAGTTTGACTTCCAGTCTACCTCAGCTAAGAGAGCCTAATAATGCAGCTTCACAACAGTATAGGGAGAGTGGTGTTGAACCAATGGTACACATTGCTTATTATTGCATAGCAATTCTAGTGGCATGTGAGAGACAGTGGCATTTGGGGGACACAATATATTGTGACTATATTGATTGGGTTTTGGTGGAAAGATATGCAGCAGAATCGGTGTCAAGGTGAATTCACGCTACTCGAAAAGTCCCAAGGAAAAGCAACCATTATAGCAACTGGACCTGGTGCCAGATCAAAGAATGGTGACATCCAGCCAATTATGGTAACAGTTGGTGGAAAAAGTTCTACTGCCAGAATATGGAAGCACTAAAGTCATCTTGGAAGGGAAGGAATACTACTTGTTTAGAGATGGAGATATTCTTGGAAAATATTTGACTATTTTTTACACTAATAGAAATTTGCAACCCAATTTGAGCTGGCAGAAAATACAACATTTCGATGACCCAATGTAATTGAAAACTAACAGAGGTTGGATGACAAGTTCAATTGCTTTCCTTATAACATGGAGTGTCTGGTTGTACTTGCAATGGGAGAGCAAAGCTCTGACTATTCCCCATGGTGGTTAAGCCAAATTTCCTGGATTGCTCAAGTGGGTCTCCTAATGGTCATCTCTCAACAACATTGGCTGATTTTGGAAGCAGGTTGTTCACCCTCTTGAGTACAGTTGATGCACAGTCCAAGGAAACAAATGTAAAGCAAAATAGTTCATTAAAATTTCCTTCAAAATATTCGATAGGAACAATACAGGTTGTACAAATGTCAATATGCTGTGCACAGAATTACAATATAAAAAAAACTTGCTTTAAATTTTCCAGATGCTGTATGCTACGTTAAGCCTTTAACTCAGTGTTTTTCAACAGCTGCTGGAGCAATGTCTTCTACCCTATACCATGAGTATATTGTGATATACTATTGAGCATTAAGTGTTTAAAATGTATGAGTGCAAGAATGTCAGCAGTGACCGAGAGAGAGAGGTGCAGTAGCTTAGGCAGTTGGACTTGTATCTGAAACCAGCGCTACAATTTGATCAGTAATTTTCTTGTAGATTTAGAAAAAGTTAACTCTTAACATTTAAGAATTGTTAAATCTTTGTTTGCAACTGAACTCTCACTGACATTAATAAATATCATCCTAATATATTTACAATTAATTATGTTTTAACTTGTAAAGGTTCACCAAGCTCACAGGTTTATCATCAGTGATTTTGTAATAATAATTATAATAATAATCCGTGTGCAGTGTATAGGAAGCTATATGCTTTTGGGTTTTAAATATAGGTTTAGATTCTTACTTCTCCACAAGTCAAGCAGTTCTTTATATTTGTACTGCTGTACAGTTTATTGTGCAATGGTTTGCATTTTCAGGGCTTGGGTACTGATGAGGACACTTTAATAGAGATCCTGGTAACAAGAACCAACAAGGAGATAAAGGAGATCATAAAGGCTTATGCACAAGGTATGTACATTCCTGATCTATTAAATGAATACTCTTGATTTATTAAGAGGTGTTTAAGCGGATTTTCAAAAATGTAGTTGTTCTAGAAATATTATATAAAGCCACCCATTCTGCTATTTGCCAACGATAAGAGATGACCAAATTTGTATGGTTTTTTTTAACTTCCAGATTTCAAAAGTGACCTGGAGAAGGACATAAAGTCCGATACTTCAAATGATTTTCAGAAAGCTTTACTTGCTCTCCTGAAGGTAGGACAGAATACTAACTCTCAGCTAAACAATCACCCCCATACAACAAACAACGTACAGTGGAAGCCGGATAAGCCGGAAACGTCGGGCAGCCAATTTGTGCAGTTTAAGCAGCGTCCGAGGTTATCCGGAATACCGTCATCTCCTCACACCAAGCAGAGGACGGTGGCTCCGTTTCCTCTGTTGCTGTTCTCATTGGAAGGGAAGGGGATCAATTAGTGGCGATTCCAAAGTGATTGACAGCCTGCAGTCAAATTGTAATTTGACTACCCCCCCTCCCCCCCCCCACCATCTCTAGCCTGGAGCTGCTCATGGCTGAATGGACCTACTCGTGACACAGAAGGTGTGGCTGAGTAAGTTCAGCGGCGACCAGCACAGCAATTTTTCCGGATTCACCGGATTGCTGTATGAATTAACCGGCATATTTAAAATGGGTAAGAATAAAAATTATTCGGTGCCGGGTGTTTTGTCCAAATAACCCACCGGCTGAGATTAACTGGAGTCCGGTTAAAGCAGCTTCCATTGTATTTTGTCACATGAAGCACTTGCAACAGTAACTCTGCCCGAACATTGCATCTGCCCAGAGTACCACTGCTCAGTAAGAATGAGGATATTGAGCATAGGGATAATATTTAAAATATTTTCTCCTCACATGAAAATTAACAGCAGAGAAGAGAATGGTGCTTTAAGCACCTTGCTCCAATCTGTGGATTTCTGGAAGATAGTATGGCGAAGCTGGGGTTGTATTTTTAGTCATAATTGTAGAATTTAGGCAAATGTTTTTTACTTGTTTTGCGTAAACTAGAAGGTAACGCTTCTGTTTAAATATGAAAATTAGATCTTAGCAATTTTGTGTCCTGTATTACCAGGCAAATCGCTGTGAGGATTCTCGAGTCGATGATGATCTTGCTGATGATGATGCCAGGGTAACTGTTTGATTTTCAATTTTTAAAATAAAAATTGTTCATGTTAATCTTCAATAGAGAACTGCACTAAGCAGTTTCAGAATTAAATTTAGTTTGTGGTAGTTTTTCAACAACAAAATAATTCCTTTCAGGCCCTGTATGAAGCTGGAGAGAAAATGAAAGGGACAAATGTTGATACATTCATCAATATTCTTACAAGCAGGAACATTCCACACTTAAGGAGAGGTAACGTATTGTCTGTCTAAATGATTGTCTAATCTAACATTCTGCAATTGTGGAGAAATAACAAAATTCATTTTAATATTTAATGTATCATGAATTGTAGCTGTCAAATCCTACCAATATTGATCTTGGTTAGCAATACAATACCTATCCCTATATAATTTACTATCTATACAGCACCTTTTACATAGGGTGGTGTCCTAAAGTGTTTTGGTTGGAGAACCAGGCCAGGGCTCAATGGAGGAAGAGCTGAAGAGTGAGGGTAAGGGAAAAAAGATAACTCAAAAATATGTGTCTAAAGGCGAGTTTTAAAAGTGGGAAAGTAAGGTACAAGGTTTTGGGGGTCAGCTGGGTGTCTGACACATGCATAAACCCATCACCATACTTGAGTATCCAAATGAAATAGAATTCCATGCATCCTTCCTCTACATGGAAATTCCCAAGATACTTATTGGATTGGATCACGCACTTTGGAGGGATGCATCTCACTTGCCTATTCCAGATTGTCTGTTGGGGTACTGCTGGAGTCCAACCAGCTAAAACCACATAGCTTGCCGTTGTGAGCACTGTCTGACATACTTTGCTGCTGCTTGTCCAACTTGGACTACCCCACTCGTTAGGCCTTTGGCTTATAGGGTTAACATGAGCCGAGTGGCAAGATTCCCTGTCTGTGACTGGTCTGCCCTTCCAGGTCCTGCCCATGAGCCAGGCTGACTACGCAGTCCCCTGGACTGCAATGAATCCACCTGGTTCAGGAATTGGACTAACTAGCCAGTTCAAAGTTTTGGTTGACCCCCCAAAAGAAGACTGTTTTCTTGCATTTGATTTTGTCTTCTAAATCTTGGAAATTGCTTCGAATTTGTTTTATTTGTCAATCAATAACAACTTGCATTTATATAGCGCTCTCCAAGTGGGATAGTGTCTCAGAGCACTTAATCAAGGAATTGTGACCTATCCTATGGAAAAATTTGTATGGGTTTAAAATATTTCTTTCATGTGATGGTTGCAACCCTACTGACCTAGGACAAAAATTCAAAACATTCAGGGAACTAGATAGCCAAGCTTGAAAGAGTGAGTGAGCAGGGTTTTCAGGTGAGCATCAATCACAGGGTAAATGCATAAAGACCAGGTTGAATGGTGAATTAATTCACGTTACTTGGACGACTCTGTGCTGGTGCCTTTGTATATTAGTGAAAACTGTAAAGCTCATGTCCTTTGCCTCTGTTGGTTTCCTATGGTTCTTGTCATTTAATTTATGGACAATTAGCAACATCAGATATCAATTTACACAACAAAGCTTCCAAACGTGAGCCCTTAAATGAAATGCCAACCTGGCACACAATTGGCGACCAGTACTCCTAGGCGATGGAGAAAAATATCAGTTATGGTTCCTGTTCCTGGTTACTATTCAGCCACCCTTGCTTAAAAAATGCACGTGTGGTTAGTCAGAACCTGGCTTTGGTGTGATTTTCTTTCATTCTCCCTCCCACCACACAATGCTATTATCTGCTGAGAATTGCTATCTAGACTCAAAATGCAAAATAAATTAATAAACGGTTCCCACTTGGCCAAGAAAATGGAGGCCAACTGATCTCCATGCAGATATATCCCTAGCATTAGTCAATTGATTGTTTGGGAAAAGGATGCGTAAAGATAAAATCAATAGATTTTCACTCAATATTATTTAAGCAATTTTGAAAATACTCTATACTTTTTCTGAATCCTATTCTAGTGTTTCAGAAATATTGCAAGTACAGTAAAAATGAAATTGCGATGGCACTGGAACTTGAACTGAAGTCTGATATAGAAAATCTTCTTGTATCTTTAGGTAAGTGAAACACTCTATACCTGAGAGATGTATTGTTTGTCCTCAAAACTCGTGACCTAATCTAACCACAAAATTTAACCTCGGTGCTGAAATCACACTACCTACTTTTTCACGAAACTAGTATTCGTCATCCAGCTTCCTAGTTGCTATTACGTTGAGAATTGCCAGCTTCTTCAGCAATAGCATTGCCTTGGTTAGCTTACAGTGCCTCGTTTAAGGCAAGGCTGGAGGAAAAGGCTGTGTGGAGAGCTAAATAGGGCTTTATTATTTTATTTTGGAAGAAAGTATTACTTTTACCTTTTTATAATTCAATGACTTTCTAATTCTCAAATTTAGTGAGCTTGAAGGTCCACTAAGGAAATCAAATGCTTTCCCCTGCAGCATTGTACTGCTATCCCACTGAATCCTTGCATTCACGACTAAAAGCAAAAAGCTGAAAGTGGATTTCAGAAATTATATCAAATGCTGTACTATGAACTTTCTCTGGGTTCACATGTGTTTCTTTTTATTTATAGCTAAATCCATTGGAAACAAACATGCCTTTTTTTCTGAGAAACTGCATGAATCAATGAAGGTAATCAACACATCAATTATTGGGCTGGGATTCCTTTTGAAGGATGTTTAAGTACAGACTGAGATGAACAAATAATCCATGGTGCAAAGATAGATGATTTTAAGTTTGATCTTTATCAGGATCAAATCTTCCAAGCTTCAGTTTCCATTACAAAGTAGTCACCTAAAGTTACTAGGGCCACAACTCATTAAGAAAGCCACAAAATAATGAATAGAGACTTTGAAAACCTGGCTTCTAACCTGAACGCTTTAATAAAATCACTAAACATTACTGGGAGTAAATAGGCCAGATTTGAATAATGCAGATGTAGCAAGTGATGAAGTCTGAAGCTTTTTTCTTTGTTACCATTGGGGATTAGGGAGAATCGATGTGTAACTTTTCCTCATGAGATCAAGTGAATGGATCACAGACCACTCAGGGTAGATGCTGCATTATCTGAGGAAGGAACAGCCTTGATGGGTTGAATGTTTTTTTTTCTCTCTTCTTGCTTTTATGACTTTCGCTCTGAACAAGTGTGTCCCAGGTTGCATATTAAGACTGAATTATTATATGCCTAGATATAGTGTATTTTTTTAAATCAATGAAACACTGGAAAATTGCTTGATTGTTCATTGCCTAAAATTATCTTCCTTTAAATGTTAAACCTGGAAGACGAGTATAAGTGCTGTATTAGAAAGAGGAAGATTCATATTTAAGAACAATATTGTTTTCATTTCTGTGTTAAAATAGGGCTCTGGCACCAGGAAGAGGATTCTGAGCAGAATCGTGGTTTCTCGCTGTGAGGTGGATTTGGAGGCCATTAAAGCAGAATATAAGAATGCCTATGGAAAAACTCTACACCAAGCAATTCTGGTACGATTACTGAATCTTCTGACTATTTGTCACAAATGGTTCTTTTCTAAAATGCTCAAACAACCCATTCTATATTTGCAAATAATGATTTGAAAAATGCCATGGATCTTTTTGATTTTTCGTTAACTTTTTTGATGTGAAGTTAATGTTGAATATAGTTCCCACATTGCCATTCAGGAAGATTATGGCAAATGTTACTTTGCTCAATTTTATTTATGTTATGGCTGTGTGTAAATTGGTTGCCTTGATTTACTACAAATACAATACAAAATTCCATTTGTAGAGCGCCTTTCACGTCGAGAGCATGTCTTAAGGCACTGAACTGTCAGAGATTAGGACCCGAGTAGGGGAGATGGTTAGGATCAGGGAAAGTGGAGGGCAAAGAGGGTAGGAGAATGGCCAAAGGCGTGGTTGAAAAGGAGGGTCTTGAGGCAAGCCTTGAAGGTGGCAAGGGAAGTAGTGAAGCAAAGTGAATGTGGGATGGAGTTCCAGAGATTGGGGGCAGAGGCTGAAGGCCCAACCACTGATTGGGGGGGCAGACGAGGCGGGGGACATGGAGCAGGCCAGAACCCGCTGAGTGGAGGGAGCGCACAGGTTGATAAGGGGTTAGCAGGTAGGAGGGGGCAAGGCCATGTAGGGCCTTGAAGGTGAGTAAATACAGTCATTACACCTTACATTAAATCCTATGAAATGCGTTGAGATCTTTTGAGAAAGTGATAAGACGCTGCATCAAATGTGAGATTATGAAGTACAACAACAACTTGCATTTACATAGCACCCTTCACGCAACGTTGTGTCCCAAAAGCCTTCAAGATCACTGTTCATATGTATAATGACTGGTCATACCTTCGCCAGATTTTCAAAAAATTTGTAAAGACTGAATTAAAATCTAATTTGCTGGAAAGATTATGAAGTATTGTAAGACAGCATGTTTTGGAAAGAATATTATGATAATAATAATCCTTGCATTTGATATAGCGCTTTTCACGTCTTCTAGATGTCTCAAAACGATTCACAGAATATGCTGTAAAGTGAATTGACTGTATTTATGGGCGAAACGCGGCAGCCGATTGCGCATAACACAAGCACTTGCATAATATAATCATCATCCTTGCATTTGATGTAACACCTAATCACGTTGTTGAGTTATCTTAAAATGCTTTACAGGACAAACTGTAAAATGATATGATTTTTGTGTGTATATTGGGCAAACAATATATAAATGACAACATCAACCTTTTTTTTTCATTCCATACAGGATGACACCAAGGAAGATTATGAAAAAATCTTGCTGTGTTTATGTGGCAGAAATGAATGAATAGGATGCACTTGTTCACTTATGCATGGAATGATGTCTCTTGTAAATGCAATGAAGATAAAATAAGACTAAAACTAAAATTATATTGGTTCATATTCAGTAAAAATAGTTCATCTGAATTTTCTCTCCTATTTATACTTGAATGCACACCAGTTTACTTCTATTATTATTGAATACGCTTCCTGATACAGATTTACTCTCAGGCTCTTCCATATATAATCGACTCTAAGTGACGTGGCACAATTGTTGTACTTTGTATGTCCTTAATTCAGGTCCGCAATAAGATGAGAACTAATTTAGATGATCGTCTGTAAGAAAGGCACCCATGATGCCATATGTTTTGATCTTTTAACAAACTGCCTGTAGAAAATCTCAAATAAAATTTCACCTCTGATACCAGTTGGGTTGTGTCATGCCATCTGGTGAATTATAAGCCATTGTTTAAATAATGCATGGATGTCTAAAAGAAGCGGTTCTCACACACCTTTTAATGAAGTCTATGAATCGTGAGGTATTTGCAATGGGGGAAGGGAAATGCTCAAATCAGACAACCTGCCACAACCTTTGGATTCAGGAAGCACACATTGATATCACAAGATTAATTGAAAGAAATTACTTCACTCCATTTCATAAGATTGGTTTGGGCGAAGAAGGCCTTTAGCCCATGTGGATTCATTCTTGCTGAACGCCTAACCTACTTTTAAACAAGATCAGTGTCCTGGCCTCAACCACCCTTCTAGGCAACTTGTCTTAGTTGTTAATTATCCTCCGAGTAAAGAAACTTCCTGCCATGTGTCCTGAAATTGCCCTTTGCAACTCTAAATCAATCTCTTGCTTTACTGTCTTGGTGTATCCAAAGGTGGTATTCTGGGTGTGCTTTTATCAATCCTATTTACAATGTTATACATCTCTAAGAGGTCCGCTCTGAAAATCTGATGACTAACTTGTTTAGTGATTGCTCATATTTCTATTCCTCTAAAACTGCAGAAAGCCCTTGTTGCTCTCCTCACTGCCTCTGGGACCTGGGAAGCCCCTTGAAGTCACAGTGATCAGATCTATATGCAACAACAACAAGATTCCATTTATAGAGCGCCTTACACGTCGGGAGGACGTCACAAGGCGCTGGACAATTGGGTCAGGACCCGAGCAGGGGGGAAATGGTCAGGGTGAGGGGAGGGAAAGGAGGGGGTAGAGAGTCGAGAGGGGAGCTGAAGGCACAGTCAAAGAGAAAGGTCTTGAGACCGGCCTTGAAGGAGGAAAGGGAGGAGGCGGTGAAGGCACTGGGGGATGGAGTTCCAGAGCCTAGGGGCTGAGAGGCTGAAGGCCCGGCCACCGATGGTAGGGTAGTTGGGGCGGGGGATGTGGAGCAGACCGGGGCCAGAGGAATGGAGGGTACGGGCAGGTAGGTAGGGGGACAGTAGGTCGGAGAGGTAAGAGGGAGCAAGGCCATGAATGGCCTTGTGGATGAGGATCTTGAATTTGATCCTCTGGGGGATGGGGAGCCAGTGGAGGCGAGCGAGGGTGGGAGTGATGTGGTCGTGAAGCCTGGTGCGGGACAGTACACGAGCTGCAGAGGTCTGAATGACCTGCAGTTTGTGGAGGGAGGTGCCGGGAAGGCCGGCAAGGAGAGAGTTCCCATAGTCCAGCCTTGAGGTGATAAAGGCGTGGACCAGAGTTTCAGCAGCGTGAGGGGTGAGGTAGTGCCGTAGTCTGGCGATGTTTCGGAGGTGATGGAAGGCGGTGCCAGTTGTGGAGCGGATATGAGGAAGAAAGGACAGCTCAGGGTCGAACAGAGCACCGAGGTTCCTGACCGGCTTTGAGAGGTGGAGAGTGCAGCCTTGGATGCTGATGCTGTCAGCGCCTGAGGTGCGGAGGCGCTTACGAGCGCAGCTGGGAGGCGACAACTCTTTCAAGGACCTTGGACAGAAAGGCGAGGCTGGAGATATGCAGTATCTTCAGGCAGGGTTGTCTAATACTAGCCACATATGATGAATTGGGAATCCAGCACCATTAAAACGCAGCACCCTGGAAACACCAGCGGTATATTTATGGAGGGGAGCTGTCAATTGAAGTCATTCGGAATAACTGCACCAGGCCAGCAGAAGAAAGCAAATCCAGCCAACAATGAGTAACTCCAACAGGGCACATCATGGCAAAGGGCAAGCAACATCCAATCGTATTCTAGATGGAGATTGTGGGTGTATCTGGTGCATCTCATGAGAGAAAGATAAAGCACACTTCGAAGTTTCACAATCATAGAATTATACAGCACAGAAGGAGGCCATTCGGCCCATTGTGTCTGTACCGGCTCTTTGAAAAGAGCTACCCAATTTCCATCCCACTCCCCCACTCTCTCCCAGTAGCCCTGCATACTTGCCCTCCCCAAATAATTACTCTCTTAAAAGTTGTTATCAAATCGGCTTCCAATGAAGGGTGCAGATTAAGTAAATTAAGTAAATATACCTGTAAAAGTACATGTGAAGTATGTTTACCTTATATTCCCAGGCTCCAGAACAAGTGAGGAGAGCAACACGTGTATTTAAGGTGTTTTCTACTAACATTAGTGCATGCGGCCACCTGTGGCTAGTCAGTGATTTCTATTGGGCAATATTGCTCTGAGGTGTGGCCCGATCAGTTACTGAACATGTTACAGTAAAGTTGTGAAACCAGGGATTTCACAAACTCGTGAAATTTTCAGTAAAATTGTGAAACCATGAAATCACTGAAATTAGGAGTCAGGGATATTGTGAAAACATGATCATTTCATCATATTGATAACCTTCCTTGACACTTGTCAGCATTATCAACAAATAAATAAACACATTATGAAAATTTATATTTTGTTTATCATAAACTTCATGTGACATTTCATTCACTGATGAGTTAACTGTCCATTTGTTAACACAAACGAGGCTTCCATGACACCGTGAGTTATTGATGAGTTATTATCGCTTTGAAGCCTTTACAACGTTTGGTCAGACATTTCTTCTGACTGCAATTACACTTCATAAAGCCTTGTTCACCATAAACAGTCTGTGCGATGACAGCTTCATGGAGTGACACGGAATACTTCTCCTGGTTGAGCCAGGTCTCTGTCAACAATCATTGTGGGCAAAGGTCAAATTGGGTCTTGGAATAGTGACCACTCAGGATGCTGGCCTTCACTGCTATCTGGTCAGTGTCTAAATCTCTATTAATGATAACACCAAGGATGTTCCTGGGATCCCCTTGACCCCTGTCAACTGCCGGGATGGGGACAGCCACGTTGTCTTCAGGTGTAGCAGCTTGGAAATCAGCCGACTCCGTTTTACCATCTCTCTGCCTAATATACTTGTGCTATTTGTGCAGCAGCTCTTCACTTTCTGAGCTGAGTCGTGTGATCTTCCAGGGCCTGTGATATAGGAGCCTGAACAGGAGGATCACAAGATATCTCTATCCTCGAGGAAATGGAGATGACAGCACCAAACTGTGGTGGTCTGTGCCACTGGAGACTAGAGAAACAAATGCACTGGTAATGGGTGTCTTGAGCTTAATTGGACTGGGTTGTCCTGCCAAAGTGCCAGTTGACAAATGGACGGTTCAGCAGTGTATGTAGCCCCAACGCTGTCACTCACTCTAAGCTTCTGTGGTGGTGTTACTTGAAGTGGAGTGGTTGTCAGCTGGTACTCTTTCTGGTGCATTTACCAGCAAGAACAGCCAGGAGATCAAGCTCACTTTCCAGTGTAGTTAGCAGTGATGAAGATGTTAGGCCAAAATATGAGTCTTGTGTTGGCCTAACATCTTCATCAAGGTCATGGCAGCATAAGGGGAGCAACTTATTCCGGAATGGTAAAGAGTTATTTTTGACCTGCACAAATTTAATGCTAACTGTCCAATCCTGTGTGTTGTTATCTGATAGCCAGTCTACTAACATATTCTTGATGTCACCAATGGCTCGTTAAACAGAACCTTGACGTTATGGGTGGCGAGGTTTGCCATGAAATATAGGGAAGTTTTGGCCAGACCTGTTTTAGCTCAGTGATGATTTGGGTTGTAAATTGGGAGTCATTGTCACTCTGGAGAATGGAGGAACCCAAGGAGAAGGAAGATATCCATGAGCTGAAAGGCTACTTGTGCAGCACTCTCGGTTGTGAGAGGCCTCAGTTCACAGAACTTGGTGAGACCATAATCCACTTGAAGTTTGAATGTGACATAGACTTCATATCAATGAGATCATTTAAGTGGAGTCCTGTAGCTCAGTGGTTAGAGCACTCGCTTTGCAAGTGAGAGACCTGAGTTCAATTCCAGGCAGGTCAGGGCGAAACCTTGGGCAAGTTTCGTTACTCCACACAGAGCCTAATAATAATCCCTCCAAAAACCAAAAACAATAATAAATTGGTCATTTTCAATCTACGACTGTTTGTGGGACATTGCTGTGCGCAATTGGCTGCCGCGTTCGCCCACAAATATACAGTCAATTCACTTTACACTGTGTTCTGTGAAGTGCTTTGGGACGTCCTCCCGACGTGAAAAGCGCTATATCAAATGCAAGGATTATTATTATTATTATCCAAATCAACCCCACACTCTCGCCATAGCCCTGCAAACTTGTCCTTCCCAAATAATTAATCTCTTAAAAGTTGTTATCGAATCGACTTCCATCCTTCAATGTATTCCAGATACGAACAACTCGCTGTGTGAAAAAATTTCTCACCTCCTCTGTTTCTTTTAACAACTATTTTAAATCAGCGTCCTTGGGTTACCGACACACCGACCAGTGGAAATAGTTTCTCCTTGTTCACCCTATCGAATCCCCTCATAATTTTGAAAACTTCTGTTAAGTCTCCTCTTAACCTTCTCTGCTCCAGGGAGAATAATCCTAGCCTCTCTAGTCTCTCCTGATAACTGAAGTCCCTCATTCCTGGTACCATCCTGGTAAATCTCCTTTGCAGCCTCTCCAATGCCTTAACATCCTTCCTAAAGTGAGGTGCCCAGAACTGAACACAGTACTTTAGCTGAGGCCTAACCAGTGTTTTATAAAGGTTCATCATAACTTCCTGACTTTTGTATTCTATGCCCCTATTTATAAAGCCTAGTAACCCGTATGCTTTTTTTTAACAGCTTTATCTACCTGTCCTGCCACCTTCAAAGATTTACTTATTTGAACCTTCAGGTCTCTCTGTTCCTTCACCCCTTTAAGATTCTACCATCAGCTTATATTATCTTTTCTCGTTCTTCCTCCCAAAATACATCATTTCACATTTCTCCACATTAAACTTCATCTGCCATGTGTCTGCCCATTTTACAGTCTATGTCCTCTTGCAGTCTGCTACTATCTGCCTCACAGTTTACTACTTTTCCTAGCTTAGTATCATCTGCAAACGTGGAAACTGTACTGCCTATACCCAAGTCCAGGTCGTTTATATAGATCAAAAACAGCAGTTGTCCCATTATTGACTCCTGGTCAAATTTCAATAGTGAGTAGAATATTTATTAATATTATTTGTCTGTCTGTTTGTTTGAAACTCTGATGGATGGACAAGTAACAATACATAACATAAGATCATACTTTGGACGATACAGCAATTTAACAATTAAAAGATACAATACTAAAATGCATTGAACAGATAAAGGGAAATATAAATTTACTTTAGACAGAAAATAGTAGGAACTTCTGATCTTTGTATGAGTGTCTGCAGCAGCAGTCGTCACTTTCAGTAATATTGTAATATTCAGCCTTGGATATGATACTTTTTACATTTGTCATCTCTCTTAAACAATTCCCTCTTGAAAGCATTTTCTGCGCTTTCTGAAGACATTTGAACAGACAGCATGGATAATTAAAAACAATATGATGGAAAACTCAATTTTATTAATATTTAATCTTTATTGACACCTTTATCGACAAATAACTTTATTAAACTCAAATAAAAACAAGACGTTCCTGGGAATATTCAGCAGCTCAGGCAGCATCTATGGAGAGAGGAAAGTGAGTTAATGTTTCAGGTTGATGACCTTTCGTCAGAACTGGGGGATGTTGGAAGTAAAAAATTAGGTGCAGGAAATTTGATGACATCAGAGGTCTTGATAGTGCAAGACAAAAAGGGAGGAATTGCCAGGTTTCACAACTTGAAATCCCTGGTTTCACAATTGTATTGAAAATTTCAGGGATTTTGCAAAATCTCTGGTTTCACAACTTTACTGTAACATACAACCTGAGAATGATTTCTGGGGAACCGAACTGATGGAGCAATATAGCCCACATTAGAGTTTGCAATCCAAGGAGTTCAGGAGCACCATTACAATATGGTAGCCCAGGAATCCGTATGGTAATTATTGTTTACTGTTTTGACATAGTTAGCAACAAAAATATGGATAAAAACACCCAGATCTCATTGAGCTTCACTCTTGACAAGTTCTATCTCATCCAGAGCACTTGTGTTTCCTAATCTTACTTTCTATATGTAGTACCTTACAGTTATCTGTGCTAAACTTCATTTGCCAGTTATCAGCCCATATATATATATATATATATATGCTCCATCAAGCTATCTTTGTAGGAACCTTTGCTGCCTCCTCTGATTCCATAGATTCCGCCAACTTGCTATCGTCTTAATTTGGAAGCCGACTTTTTACAGTTAATGAAAAGGAACGGCTTCCACCTGAATGAGTTTCACAAAGTTTGAGGCGAAATAATCTTCCCGGCTAAGATACCATAGGGGCAGCATCTCAGTTTGGATAATCTTATTCACGAGGATGGGGTGACCACGTGCGCCAGACACGGGGCAGCCGAGGCTGACCGAGGGAGAGAGAGTTAGTGTTATTAATGAAACAAAAAAGAAATGATGTTCTTGTGCAGTTTGGGACATGACGTGCCGAGCGACTGCCAGGATGGTGGGAGGCGCACGAGATGGACTTCGGTGTCTTCGTCCGACCAGCAAATTCCTACGTTCTTAAGTCCTCTGAGAGAGGCCCTTCAGTCCAAATAAAAAGGGGTTTGAACAATTCCAGCCCCGGGCCTGCAGGCGGCGCTCTTCTTTACAACGCCCGAGTTGATCTCACTACAAGATGGCTGACTTTTGCAAATGCAATGGTGAAGGTGTGCAGTTTACCTTTAGGGAGAGAGGGGGGGAGAGGGAGCCCCTGAGTTGGCTGCAGTGTGTGAAGCGTTGCAGAGTCCCCGGGGGGAGGGGAGGAGAGGGGCGGCACTGAGCGCGCGGGCTCCGCTGTCCCGGGGCGTTCGGCTGAGCGAACGTTGACCCGGAGCGCGCGGCGCTCCTCCTCCACATACACAGCAATGTGGCTCTGTGTGTGTGTGTGTCTCTCTCCCCTCCTCCTCCTCTTACAGATACACAGCAATGTGGCTCTGTGTGTCTCTCTCCCCTCCTCCTCCTACAGATACACAGCAATGTGGCTCTGTGGGTGTCTCTCTCCCCTCCTCCTCCTACAGATACGCAGCAATGTGTCTCTCTGTGTGTGTGTGTCTCCTGCTGTTGTAGCAGATACACAGAGCAGCAATGTGGCTGTGTGTGTGTGTGTCTCCTGCTGCTGTAGCAGATACACAGAGCAGCAATGTGTCTGTGTGTGTGTCTCCTGCTGCTGTAGCAGATACACAGAGCAGCAATATGGCTGTGTGTGTGTCTCCTGCTGCTGTAGCAGATACACAGAGCAGCAATGTGTCTGTGTGTGTGTCTCCTGCTGCTGTAGCAGATACACAGAGCAGCAATGTGGCTGTGTGTGTGTGTGTGTCTCCCCTCCTCCTCCTGCAGATACACAGAGCAGCAATGGCTGGCCATGTCAACTTCTCGCTTCAGCTACTTGCACTGCTCCTCTGTCACTTGCCAGATTAAGAGAGATCTTCTTGTACTTTGCGTGTGTGTGTGTAAAAAAAAAGGCTTTGGGCAAGTGCCTCAGCTTTAACAATTTAATTTAAACCAGCAAAGTTTTTTTTTGTGTGGGGGGGGTTCCCTTTGATGGCCTTTTATTTCACAGCTGCAAAAGCACTAATCTATATTGGCCACTCTGCTACCCATAGTGGGCAACACATACTCTTGGGCTAGTTTGGGGCTAGTATTTGGTTGAATTGGGCTACAAACTTATTTTCAGTTTGGGCAATTTTTGCCCCTCCCCCCAGTTCGTGGGGGCAAGCTTGTAAGATTTTTTCCTTCGTTTGCTGCAAGTCTTTGTTTAAACCCTCGTTCACCTTTCCCCCCAACTCAATAATCATGGATTCATATGCCAGTACAAAGGGTAGTGATGGTGTTTTTTATGCAGAAAACACTTGCAGTGGTATACAGAAAATTTGTATCTTTGTTTCTTCATGTTCTCCAGGAAGTCCAACAAAATACTATTGCCCAATAAACATGATAGATTCATAGAATCGTACAGCACAGAACGAGGCCATTCGGCCTGTAGAGCTATCCCAACATGTGCTAGCGTCAGTCAAGCCACTGGGAAAAAAATCCTTTTCCGAATAGTACTATTCTTTAACATTCACCTGAACAGGCAGATGGCACCTCAATTTAACGTCTCATCTGAAGGATGGTACCTCATAAAAAGCAAATGGAATTTAGAAAAAAAGTAATTGAGTATAAAAACTGAAGTGAATCAAATTTGTAAAAGGCATTGGTTAGGGCACCGTCAGAACATGGCATCTGGTGTTTGACACTTATAATAATGGTATTGAGGTTAGAGAGAGTACACCAGTTTCACTAAGATGGTATTAGAGATGAGAAGTTATAGTTATGTGGAGAGACAGCATTTTGAACTGCTTTTGCTGGAGCTGAGAATATCAAGGAAGGAAGGAATTCAGTGGCGGTGTTAAAATTTATGAATGGTTTTGTGAGAATAAATTGAGAAAGTAAATTTTTCCAATAATTGGTGAGTCACTAACAAGATAGATTAAATTGAGGTTATCATGAGAAGAAAAAAAAGACCCTTTTTATATACAAAGAGGGTTGTTACCAGAATTATTACCAGTATTACCAGAAACAGTTGGTTGAAACTGAAACGGTTGGTCATTTCAGGATACAGGAGAAAGTTGTGAAAAATCATAATAAAGTAGAAGATTGGGGGAAGTATGGTGTAAAATGGCAAATAATGTTGTAAGACCATTTTTGAATAGTGATTTTCCATTTTTAAGTATTATTTTGTATTCCAGTCAATTAAATCAAGTCCATTTTATGGGATTTTTTTTAGGGTTCACCAGAGTGAATTGAAAAATGAAAATTTTATATTGTCTTATCATGCAGCCCATATCGCTATATAATATGATACAAAAGGATGACAGTATGTGAAGAGTTAATGCCTTTTTTGTTGTTGTTGCAGGAAACCACTTGATTGTGCGTTGATATCGAAAAGGTTGTTTGGTGCCAAATGACACTCAAGTGAAACCATGAAATCAAAACTGAGGACACTTGTAATTTTGTACTTTGTCCAAGGAATTCCCTATGGAATACAGTCTGGTTTATTACCAATTTATCTAAGAAGTGTTGGAGTCTCCCTTACGAGAATCAGTTTGGCCAAATTACTGTATTTTCCATGGATACTCAAGATGTTATGGGCTCCTTTGGTGGATTGGTATGGAACAAAGCAGAAATGGCTGCTGGGCAGCATGTATGGACTCGCTTTCAGCTTTTTAATCATTTCTGGGTTGTCTCCAGAGATTCATTTCCTAATTTTGGTGTTCATGTTGATGATGATAAACTTCTTCGCTTCAGTTCAAGACATTATTGTTGACGGCCTGGCTGTTAAGATACTCAGTGTTGATGAAATTGGCTATGGCAACACAATCCAAGTGGTGAGTTATAAAATGGGCTCTGCCCTTGCCGGAGGAGGGCTGCTGACAGTGATAGACTTGCTTGGCTGGAGAATCCTTTTTATAATGTTAACTGGTATTTACGTTGGAGCTATAATTTATGCTTTGTGTGCTCCTGAACTTCAAGCATCCCTTGGAATGAAACCAAAGTTATCCACACTGAACCCCTGGGTAATATTAGAAGACCTGCTTCGAGTGCCTGGAACAGTTTGGACCATGATTTACGTCATCATTTACAAATTAGGTGAGCTCGCTTTGTGCATTAGTAAAAACAATTAATATTTAAAAGCTATTTTTGGCACAGGACCTATGGGTCTGAAACATAGATAAAATGGGCTGAATGGCTGCCTTCTGTGCCTTAAATTTCTATGGTTGTATTTCCAGGTCCTTGTATATTAATTAAGTAGCCTGCCTGAATTAGACCTATAGTTAGTTTACAATATTGTCTGCAATTATAGAATGCACACGTTGTACTTCATTGAAGAAAGCTGTACCTTTGTAGCTACCAGTTATAGTAATAAAAATAATAATAATTCTTGCATTTGATATAGCAGCAGCCACTTGCGCACAATAATGTCCTGCAAACAGCCATGGAGGGAATGACCAATTTTATTTGGGGGCCAGAACACTGCGAGAAACTCCCCTTCTCTTTTCGAAAAGTGCCAAGGGATCTTTAAAGTTCATCTGAACAGGCAGGTGGGACCTTGGTTAAACTCATTATTCGAAAGATAATGCAGCACAACCCCAGCACTGCATTGGAGTGTCAGCATAGACCAGGCATGTGGGCTGCATCCGGCCCGAGGGATGGTTTAATTGTCCTGCCTTCCTCACCAGCAAACCGTCCTCTCATGGCAGTGTCAGGAGTTGGCGGTTGGGAGAATGCACTTGCCTTCCCCTCAGCTCAGGAGGGACATGTAAGATAAAATAGGTCATTCACTTCATATCTTTTTGGGGGACATTGCTGTGCACAAAATTGGCTGCCGCATTCGCCCACAAAGTATGTGGTCACTACACTTTACTGTAAATCTTGTGAAGAATTTTAAAATTACTTCTTGAGGTGAAAAGCATTATATGAAATCCAAGGATCATTAATAATAATAATAAATGATCCCTTTTACAAAGAAGCTGTTTTTAAAATTGTTTAGTCATATTTTTAGCATTTTAAAATGCAAATAGTGAAAGTGAAACAATAAAATGTACATAGTGAAAGCCTGTCACTTGCTATATCTAGGCCTGCCTGTAGACTGATCCTATGTGTAGCCAACATATTCATACAATAACAGTTGTGATAGGCTGGCTATTGTGATGGTTATTCTAACTGACAAAGCTGGGATTTGGAAATGGGTCGGTAAGTGATTAATATATACAGATGTTAGTGCAGTATTGTAATAACGACCAATGATGTATTCAATCTTTATTTTGATTTATAGAATTCAAAATATAAAATGTATGTCTGGTCTTAATTTGGATATAGATGAACCATCTCATTCCATCACAGCTGAAAATATAACTTGTGGTATCATTATGAAGCACCAAAGATGGATGCTCTTCAATTATTTCTTTAAAAAATCCATGACTTTTACAAAACAATTTTTTTAATATAAAGTTCGCTTCTAAAATGATTTAGTTTTTAAAACAGTTAATAATATAGATTTTTAAACAACGTTTCTCCTGTCATGCTCTGTTACGTATTGCTCGCCCTTGATAATAAATAAAAATAATCTTGCATTTGGCATAGCACCCTATCACATCATCAAAATCTCCAATAACTTCACACAGTTTACTATAAGTAGTGACAGTGTATTTGTAGACCAACGAGGCAGCTAATTTACCCACACTAAAGCCCCGCAAACAACCATTGATTGCAGAACTGTATATCGACATATTGCAGAAAAGATTGCGTCTATGCAAAATAATTTGATATGGCTTTCAGTATTTAATTTTTTATTACTGTGCGAATGGATATTGCAAGGTGAGGATGGCCTGTGCGCATGAGGAGTGTTATGGAGCTCCCTCTGCTGGACTCTTGTGACCTGGGCTTTGGTGTCCTGGCCATGTTTAATGCTCCCTCTGGTGGAATCTTCAGTGATCTGGTTTGCAAGCTTTTATCTTTCAGCTAACAATAATTTTGCAGAGGTAAAGATTGTGGCAAATTCCACTTCATCGGTATTTCCAAGAGTCCTGTTCCTGATCAAATAGTGGGTGAAATGAGAGCCACCAATGTTTTCAACCAATTTGTGCGAGTTTCACATGGCAGATTGAACAGTGACAGCTGTTAAAAGTTCATACATCCTGTTGAGCTCCAGTTTTGCTGATACAGGAGTGTACATGCCATTATCAGTGCCGTAGAGGATATAAACGGTGTAAATTATGAGCTGTCACGAGCAATTCATCAAGTTGCAGTCAATGCCCTTCCTTCAAGGACAAGCCCACAGCTCTGGGGACACCCATTGGACTCATCAGCATTGAGGTGCAGGGAAGTCTGATGTCTTTTAAATGCTTTATTTATTAGGATCTATTATATGCTGTGTGTAAACCATGTTTAATAGTTAATGACTGGTTAATGACGCAGTTAAGGGTACTTGTAATTCCTTCTGTACACATGGTTTACACCTGGTGCAGAACGCAGCTGGGTTTACCTATGGTTTACATGTAGAACCATTAGAATTTACAACACAGAAGGTGGCCATTCGGCCTATCGTCTCTGTGCTGACTGTTTTAATAGCAATCCCTTCATTCCCATTTACAGATAAAGAAATCAACTAATATGAAAGTAACCCAATACACTTTACCAAATTCAACAGGAATACCTACCAAAAGGCCTCTGTAATCTAATATATTTCTTGTTCAACTTCAGGCATCCGGAAAGGCAGCCTCTTCCGTTATCAAAACGAGTAAGGTTATTTATTTATCTAATGATAAAGCCGGATTCAAAATTCATGTGCGGAATTTTTCTGTTTTCAGAGAATTCATAGTTTTCTCTCTGGAATATGATGTGTCAGCCTGGCTTAGTAGGTAGCACTCCCACCTCGGAGTCAAAAGGTTGTAGGCCCAAGTCCCAGGTCAGGACTTGAAAATAGTATAGTCTAAGCTGACACTCCAATACAGTAATAATAATAATAATCCTTGCATTTGATATAGCGCTTTTCACATCTTCTAGACTCCCAAAGCGCTTCACAGAATATACTATAACGTGAATTGACTGTATATTTGTGGACGAACGCGGCAGCCAATTGCGCACAGCAGTGTCCCACAAACAGTCGTGGATTGAAAATGACCAATTTATTATTGTTTTTTGTTTTGGAGGGATTATTATTAGGCTCTGTGTGGAGTAAGGAAACTTGCCCAAGGTTTCGCCCTGCCTGGAATTGAACTCAGGTCTCTCACTTGCAAAGCGAGTGCTCTAACCACTGAGCTACAGGACTCCACGTGCTGGAGGAATTGATCCATTTTTTGATGAGATGTTAAACCGAGATCCTGTCTGCCTGTTCCGGTAGATGTTAACGATCCAATGGTACTATTTGAAAAGGGGAGTTTCTCCTTGTGTCCTGGCCAACCATCTCCCCAAATAAAATTGGTTATTCATTACATGGCTATTGTGGGAAGTTGCTGTGTGCAAATTGACTGCCACATTCATCCACAAAACACTAAGTCATTTGCCTTTGCAGTATATCATGTAAAGTGCTTTGAGAAGCACACCCCCTCCCAAGGTGTCATATCTGATGTAATGATTATTTTATTCGATGTATTTATCCTCTCTCCAGAAAAATAATGTATAGAGACAATATTCCACTTCAGACAATGTAGTTTTTGTAGGTCTCTCTCTTAATGCCCATGAACAACTGAATAGTCGTTTCACCACTCTATAAGTTATAATAATCAGTGTTATTGTTAAGCTTGTTATGTTTATTAATGTTGGACATTTTAGGCTGTAGTAATTTTACTGTGTTGGCACTTGTTCCCCCATTTTCCCCAAGTGAGAAGGAGTAATATTAACAATCCTTATCAACGTCTTTCACGTCGAGAAGACATCTGAATGAACTTCACAGGATGTGCAAATTTGTCAGCCAATTTGCATACAGCAATGTCCCACAATCAACCACAACGTCCTGTGGCGCAGTGGTTAGCACTCTCGCCTCGCAAGCGAGAGGACCAGAGTTTGATTACCGGGCGGGGCAAAACATTAACTTACTCCACACGCCTCTGTTTACCAAGCAGGAAGTAAGAACTTGGTTATAATCCTTGCATTTGATATAGCGCTTTTCACGTCGGGAGGACGTCCCAAAGCGCTTCACAGAACACACTGTAAAGTGAATTAACTGTATATTTGTGGGCGAACGCGGCAGCCAATTGCGCGCAGCAATGTCCCACAAACAGTCGTAGATTGAAAATGACCAATTTATTATTGTTTTGGGTTTTGGAGGGATTATTATTAGGTGTGTGGAGTAAGGAAACTTCCCCAAGGTTTCGCCCTGCCTGGAATTGAACTCGGGTCTCTCACTTGCAAAGCGAGTGCTCTAACCACTGAGCTACAGTGAGCTGGTTGTTAGTTGATTGGTGGATTGCTTCCTGGGGGTAATCCCTCAAAAAAATTGATCACTCAATCCATGACTGTTTGTGAGACACTGCTGTGCACAATTGATTGCCACGGTTTGTCCACAAAATACAGAGTCAATCCACTTTTCACGATCTATTCTGTGAAGTGTTTTGAGACAGCTCAACAACATGATAAGGTGACATATCAAATGCAAGGATTAATATTATTGTTATTATAAGTGAATGACCAATTTTTATTGGGGAGATTGTTGGCCAGGACACCAAGGGAAACAGCCTTTCCTTTTTAAATAGAGCCATGGGATCTTTAACATCCACCTGAACAGGTAAACGTAACCTTAGTTTGAGTCTCATCTGAAGATTGGCACCTCCAACAATACATTGGAGTGTCGGTCTAGATTATAATGGAAGAATATAAAACCAAAGCAGAATAATGTAATAATAATAATAATAATCCTTGCATTTGATATAGCGCTTTTCACGTCGGGAGGACGTCCCAAAGCGCTTCACAGAATATACTGTAAAGTGAATTGACTGTATATTTGTGGGCGAACGCGGCAGCCAATTGCGCACAGCAATGTCCCACAAACAGTCGTAGATTGAAAATGACCAATTTATTATTGTTTTGGGTTTTTGGAGGGATTATTATTAGGCTCTGTGTGGAGTAAGGAAACTTGCCCAAGGTTTCGC